GTCCTAATCGGATAGGGTTGGTCCTGGCCAATTCGAGCGAACCCGGTCTCATTTTCCACACATTTAAATGGCGACTTACGACTATGGAATAAAATAAGAATATACCAACAAATTTGTCTAAACAAAACTTCAAGGGGCACGACACCAAAATGTCAGCTACAACTGACCAGACCACTTTATTGCGCAATTACAAAGCCGAGTCCTCTCTTTGCAATATATGTTGCTGTCGATTCACTCAACCCCTTGGAGAAAAGTAAAACCTCCCACTTTCTCTCCTTACACCAACCAAACCCAGACTGCCAAAGATAATTTTTGATTACATAATGTTATAGTCTCTTTATTATATATGTGATCCTCCAGTCCAATCTGACAGGGAAGAGAGAGAGAGAGAGAAGCTCCTCTTATTTCTTTCATTATTGGGTATCAGTTTATATATTTGTGCAGTTTCTTCAGCTGAGCTGATAGCAAATCTGAAGAAATATTGCTATTCTTTTGGTGGGTTTATTTTGTACTTGAATCTTTTGGAAGAAAAAAAATGTCGGGGTGGTGGGAGTGTTATTGCTCATGCGATGATGACAGTTTGGATGAGGATTTTCCTGTGGGAAAAAAGCCTTTTTCTCTTCCTTCACCCCTTCCACAGTGGCCACAAGGTATGTTCTTGGCAATATTTTGTTAAAAGATTAAATTTTTACTTTTCAGAATTCAATTCTTAATTCGTGTTAGAATTGGGATTTCTTGTCCCTGCACTGAGAAAAATCTGTTTTTTTCCCTCTTTTATTATAGTCCTTTTAGTTTTATCAAAAATCAGTTGTTACCTTAGATTCTTTTTGCCTGTTATGTTGAATATAAGTTTTAAATTGCTAATCTTGATAATTCGAAACATATTTGAGATGAAAAAGAATAAAAATGAAACTAGCTCTTTTGTCGTTTTAGCTCTTTAATATTGGGTGGGCGGGGTGTGGTCGAGTAGGTGGGTGTGTATTAATTGAATAGTTGTATAAGGCTATTCAATAATTGGATTCTTCCTTGAAGTATTATTCCTTTTAACTGTAAGCACCTTTGATTATATATTGCTATTACATTTTTAACCCAGAAAAACAAGGATTTGTTTGTTGACTAATGAATATTTACTGTTTCTGGATTTCAAGAAATATGTATTTTATTGGTGATTCCTTATGGGGACTTAGTCAGATTGTTTGAAAAAGTATGACTGAGAGTTCACGGGATATCTTTGTTCAAGGCAAGTACCAAGTATGAACTTGGTCAAGATTTTGAGATATGGGAATGCTATGGCTCGGAATGTTTAATTTTGCGTGCAAATTGTATGATTTAAATATTTAAGTAAAGTTTTTGGGATGCTTAATGCGTCCACACCCAGCTTTTGCAGAAGATGTAAACTTCATTCCTTCACTTTTTGCAATTTGAAACTTATGTATGTTCTTTCGTTCTACGAGAATTGATTGATCCATTGATTCCGCAAGTATACAGATCACGGCAAGTAGTAAAGTGGATTTTGGAGTCCGAATATCTTTCCCATAGAGATTAATACTTCCAATTTTTATTCCAGTTCTAGCTTCGGTTTAAATTAATGTGTTAGCTAATCAACAAATCAAGATTTTATTTTCTAAGTAAATCAACAAAACTAATTTAAATTCATCTAACTAACCGGAGAATTATTGGGATTAAGTGGTTAGGAATTTTGATTTCACTTATATTTCAATCTGCTCTTAACTGATTTAACAGATATTAATACAGTTTTAAATCTTACAGGTCAAGGTTTTGCCACAGGGAAGATATGCCTAGGAGAAATAGAAGTCATTAAAATCACAAAGTTCTCTGAAATATGGAGCTGTGTCCCGCTGCGAGGAAAGGAGAAAGGTGTCACTTTTTATAAGCCTGTGGAAATTCCAGACGGATATTTCTGCCTTGGTCACTATTGTCAACAAAATGATGCGCAGTTGAGAGGTTACGTTCTTGTGGCCAAAGCAATATCCACCACTAAGCATCGAGGTGATGAAATACGGGGATCAACTTCAGACTCTCCGGCCCTGATAAAGCCTCTTAGTTACAGCTTAGTATGGAGTGCCAATTCTCGAAATAATGGAGAAGGTTATATTTGGCTCCCGAATGCACCAGCAGGTTATAAACCAATGGGTTTTGCAGTTACTATTGAATCTGATGAGCCTGATCTTGAAGAAGTAAGATGTGTTCGAGATGATCTCACTGCAAGTTGTGAAGCTGGTGATGTGATATTTGACCTAAGCTCTTTCTTATCGAAGGACGAATTTCAAGTTTGGAATACTAGACCGTGCAAAAGGGGAATGTTCTGTAAAGGTGTTCCTGTTGGGACATTCTTCTGCAGTAGTAACCAGAGTTCTAAAGATGAATTGAACATTGCATGTTTGAAGAATTTTGACTCGTCCCTTCATGCAATGCCGAATCTTGATCAAGTCCATGCACTCATTAAGCACTATGGACCTACTGTTTTTTTCCATCCGGATGAAGTTTACTTGCCCTCGTCTGTTTCATGGTTCTTTGAAAACGGAGCACTTCTGTACAAAGAGGGAAGAGAAAAAGGTTTAGACATTGACTCTAAGGGCTCAAATTTGCCTGGTGGTGGGTCGAATGATGGAAAATTCTGGCTTGATTTACCAGACGATGGTGAAAATAGTGATTATCTCAAGTGTGGTAACCTTGAAAGCGCAGAGTTATACGTTCACATAAAACCAGCTTCAGGGGGGACTTTCACCGACATTGCCATGTGGATCTTTTGCCCATTCAATGGTCCAGCTACACTTAAAGCAGTGAAACTGAATATTTCTTTTAACAAAATAGGTCAGCATGTTGGCGATTGGGAGCATTTTACTCTCCGCCTGAGCAACTTCACTGGAGAACTTTGGTGTGCATATTTTTCAGAACACAGTGGTGGTGAATGGCTGGATGCAAGTGAGTTGGAGTTCATCAAGGGAAATAAGTCGATTGTATATTCATCAAAAAGTGGCCACGCTAGTTTCCCACATCCGGGGTGCTATATTCAGGGCTCTACGAAACTTGGAATAGGATTGAGGAATGATTGTGCCGAAAGCAAGTATATGGTGGACTCTAGCACCAAGTACCAAATTATTGCAGCTGAGTACCTTGGAGACGGAAATTTTACAGAACCACATTGGTTACAATATATGCGGGAATGGGGTCCGACGATTGTTTACAATTCACGATCTGAACTGGAGAAGATACTCAAACACCTTCCATTTTTCATTAGGTTTTCGTTGGAAAATCTCATCGAAATTTTACCAACTGAACTATATGGCGAGGAGGGGCCAACGGGGCCTAAGGAGAAGAACAATTGGGAGGGAGACGAAAGGTGTTGAACCTTCTTATACTCTGGGCTCAAATACTCTCAGTTCTCCATTTTCCCCATGTGACAAAATATTACACTAGATCCCAAGGCATTGTTGGACTGCTCTTTCTAGGAAAGGATTTGCATGGACGACCTCAGATTTATTGAGATAATGCTTGGTTTTTTGTTACAGCCTTACAGGTAGAATTGGAGATCAAGTTCAACATGGGCTAGTCCACGGAGGTGTAAGAGTGTGTGCATGTGTATATGTTATTTCATTATATATTGTATTATTATTACTTCAAATTAATATTTGGCGCCCTTCTATTCTTTGTGGGGCTAAGCTTGCTTATAAATACTTGTATACGGTGTCTTAAAGAGTGTGTGTGGTTAAAAAGTAGATAAATGATAGAACTATATAAAGTTTTATGTTGGCTGTAAATTTACTGCGATCGTGCTCATTTGCTACGAATGGGTTTATTATTACATTGGTCAATGAACTTTTCTCTGTGTTAAACGTCAATTTGTTTTTCCTTTGATCTTTGAACTATAGAAAATGTTATACGTCCATCATTGAAGTGGATTTTGTTGATGGGACTACTGATACGGCCAATGAAGATTCTACTGTGGCATGTCAACACTAACAAATCATGTTTCCAAATGGTCACTGAAGTTTCTCTCGTATTAGTAAATGATCATTGAATTTTAAAATAACTTTTCATGGCCACTTATAAGTGGATCCCCATGAAATAGTTAATGTGCAATTTTCTAAACAATGCCCCAATAATCACTGAACGTAAGTTTGTATCTTCGATTTCTTACTGAAGTTAAAAATGTTAAGTTTTGGCCATTAAGTGTCTGTTTGGGACCGATTAAACTAGAACTAAGAGGAAAAATATGACCGTTGGGCACAATAAAATGTTATTTACTTATTCATGTAATCTGACTCTTTTCAAAAAAGTATTGTACCCACTAGTCATTGTCTAGAACAATTGCTGACAATGCCGTGAATTCATTTCTTCTCAGCTGCATAAATGGGTGTTATGGACTTTTAGAATATATTTTGTAATTCACGTACCGTAAATAGAAAAAGGTACAGTAGCTTTATCTTTACATGTGTGGGGCTCATGAATTGACATAAAATTTGATTTTCTTCCCAAAAATTGCTCTACACTAAATTTATTCAAACGTTAGACGTTGGCAAGGCTAACGGAACACATAAGTAGTATCCCATCGTGTCGTTACCAAATTGTCGCATAAAAAGTGTCTTTCATGCTCACTAAACTTTAAAAATGATCTTCAATTGCTCACTATATTTTGAAAAATATCTTCAATTGCAAAATTTTCAAATTGATCTTTTCGTTATGCTTGTAGAATTTTAAACTATTTTCATCATTTGAAAATTTTAAATTTATTATGCGTTTCATAATTAAAATTAAATTAAATATTGTTTAATTGAGTAATCATTTCTCGTGGATCGACAACAAACAATTCAATCTGATTAAAACTCAAAAAAATGAACATACAATTTTCAAGATTGATTTGTTTCAACAAGCCACCATCTTACAAATAACCTGTTAATGGATAAATTCCTCATTGAATGAAGATAAAAACTTAGATTAACTTGTAAGAATTTGAATTATATCTCTTAATAAAGTTGACTTTTTAAAATAAAACATTAACTCTTCATATACTTTTGTGATTGCAAATGCCATTCAAATCAATAGAATAGAAGATGGGTGAGCACTATTGAAGTCCTTATGAATCCCATGTTACCGGCTATATTTTCAACAAAGAAATAGGGAAAGAGAATTATTCTACAGACAAATATGATATGCGATTAAAAAATTCACAATCTCAAGAAAAGACTTTGAAATGTATTTGACCAAAAACTGAAAAAGATTTAATCTCTGTTTGGCTAATAAATAGCTTTTATAATCAAAGTTATACTTACTTTTTTAAATTAACATATAATATAAACTTTTTTTATTTAACAGTAAGGAAAAAAAAAATCTAAATACGCTTAGAATTGGAAAAGTTAATTAAAAGTAACTTTAATTCGTTTATACCTAGCCAAACATGTCTCTGATCTCATGTGCTGCTGTAATAAATTGCCAACCCATACTAGCATTACTTGCAGCATATATATCTTTGGACGACACCAAGATTTGCTGCTAACACCCACCAATAATTTAATAATCTCATGTGATACTGTAATTTAAAATAAAATTAAATAAAATTGAAGAATATATATAAAGTTCAAAGAATGCATTTTATATATTTATTAATTTAGGATATTTAAAATAATACTAAAAATTTGAAAACGCACAATTACGCATAGGCATGCATATGCTTGTAATGCTTTATGCTCAATCGAAGCGTATTGTCAAGCATTACTCATTTTATAACTTTGCTTAAAACACAATTAGATTTTGTAGATTCATAAGGAAATACGAGCAAAAATTATGTTATATGCTATTTTTTATTTTCGAGCTTACATTACAGTGGAATGTGATTATGTGATATTTTGCTCATTAGTGATTCATTTTGAGAAGTATGCATACTGTATAGCATCCTGGGACACCAAAGATGGGTTTCAAGGCCAAGAAGAAAGAATCGTAGTAGCCAAATAATTGTATATGAGCGAACACGTATGCAGCCTTTCATTCGACAAGCAACACGGGCCATTTTCTGCCCGTAACGAGCTGGACCTTACCAAAAAACTGCTTAAACAAAACTTTGATAAAAATGTTTTAAATGAAAAAAGCTGCCTGTTTCTCTGCTGCCTTAAACTGGCAGAACATAGCTGCCTGCTACTAGCTTCCTTAAGAAGGCAGCTATGAGGTACTAAATTTGATTAATTTCATGAAACGGTTATTGTTACGCCCCTATCTGAACCATTTCGGAAAGTCCACCACCACATCATGCGAGGTTTGGAACACTCATCCGAAGTGGTTCCGAAGTGACTTCACCAATGGTAACGATCTGCTATCATACTACGAGGCATAGGCAATTCTGCGGGACTGACCGAAGCGCCCTCGTCCCGAAATTCGGGGCGAAATGCACTCCGGGTACCTCTGTCAGAGGATCCGTCGCTAATATCAGAATGAGATCTTTGTCAAAATCTTTTCTGCCCCTAGATTTAAAGTGATTTGACGTCTCCATGACGCTAGTTGATGTGACGTATCAACTTTATGTCAACTCAACTCGGGAGAAGTAATTATCCCCCCACTCTATAGACACGGCTGATTTACGCCTATGAGCAAACGTCTTATACCGTCAGATGTATACACGTGTCCCACATCCAATGGTTCTCCTCACCTATAGATACCCAAAACTTGGCAAGAGGCAAAGGTAATGAAACTCTTACTACTTAGCACTCCATAGCAAGCAAATATATATATTCTCCTCCCCACTATTTTGCACAACCTTGGTACTGTTCCGATCACCTGAACCTAACTTGACCGTCGGAGTGTATACAGCCGTCGCCACCCCCACTGGTTCCGACCGTGTGCATCTGACCATGCGTTGATTGTGCGCAGGGAGGAATACGTGAAGTGGCTATCGGTTGGCCACGTGGAGGGTCCAATTTCCGAGGTCAACAGATTGGCACTGTCTGTGGGAAATACTTCCCATTCAAAGTTCTGCATTCTTCACCGGAGAAATCACCAAAAAACTAGCGACTTACCCTGAAAAGGGCACGTTCTTAAAAAAGAACAAAGTCGAGTTATAACCCAAGTTCTCATCACCCTTGAAAAAGGAGATAGAATGAGTTCCAGCCATGAAGACGACAACCCCATTAGAGAGGCCTCTGAAGAAGAGGTGCTCTATAACAATGTCACTCACCAGAGACCCCATCACCAGCGTCGTCAAGGTAAAAGAACAGCCATGCTCTCTGAAGAAATGACTCAAATAGCTGCGGGCATGAGAAACATCGCTGCTCAGAATGCAAGCCCAATGTCACCAAGGCTCTCAAATGCCCCAAGGATCTTACCCAGTGCAGGAAGCTCCTGTATCTCGTTCCCGAGGCCATATGAGCCAGCACAGAGAACGCCCCCTCGAAAGATAAGTGGGCGCGGAAGCCACATCCTATGTGCAAGGGAGCCAGCCAGCAAAACCGCAGTTAGGGGACAATTTCCCTCAAGAATATGAGGAACAAAGGTCAGTAAGCGTCTTCGATCGAATAGGCCAGGACCCTAGCAATAGGGTCCGCTCAGTACGAAGATCAGTTTGGCAAGATCAGGAGCAAGAACGGGCACCTCCTCCTCCTAGAAATAGGAAGGATAGGAAGAACCTAGTTGATTGAGGGAGTCGAGAAGAAGCACCTCCACCTCCCCAGGATATTCAAGATGATGAAGGGTCAAATGGGCCTTGTCAATCTTATGAAATTGACGATGATGATAATAACCTCCCTTTCTCAAGGGAGATCCGAAGCTGCCCAATGCGAGCGAACTTCATGCCCCCTAAGATCCTCAAGTATGAAGGAAAGGGGGACTCGGAGAAGCACCTCACCAAGTACATAACACAGATGAGCCTCAGGGGAGCCTCGCCTGCTTTGAAATGCAGAGCCTTCCACCTAACCCTGAGCGGAGTTGCTGAAGTGTGGTATAGCAGACTTCCTTCCCTAAGCATTAGGAGTTGGCCAGATTTGAAGAAGTCATTCTTGAACCAATACCTCTCACGTAGAGAAGGAGAGGCCCCAGTGCAACACCTGCAAGATATGAGACAGGCCCCTAGAGACGCTGAAAAGCTATCTCGCCAGATTTACAGACGAAATCACATACTGCGAACAGGTCACTAACAGAGAAGCCCTTTCAGCTCTGAAAGGCAGCCTCAACATGAACATTTTGTTCTGAAGGGACGTGCGCAGCAAGAATCCTGCCACCTATGACGACCTGGTGGAAATTATGAGAGTGAAAATCGTCAGTGAAAAAATGATTGATCACCGAAATCGTGCTGTGCACGGACTCCCTCCGCCTCAGAGGCAGGTAGGTCGAGGACCCACAGCGCACCTTGTCACTCAGCAATGGACTCAAGCAGGTCACACAATAGCTCCCACTTCCGGACAGGCACTGGCTTTCGCCACACTGAATGCAATGCTGGTATTGGCATTTGAGAATGCTCATGGCGAAGCAGGACCATCTGGAAGAACTGATAGTAAGAAGAAGAGGAAGAAGCGATCAAACAGGCCCTTGAAAGAGGCAAGGTTTTGCACTTTCCACCAACTTTATGGGCATGACACCAACAAGTGCAGAGACGCTCCTCGGCGCCCGAATCGAAGCGTGCCACACCCCTCCAAGAGGAACGAATATCCTCGCAAATCCGCCTCCCCGAACAGGGGAGAGAGAAAGCATAAAGAGCAGTCACCCAAGAAAAGAGAATCAAGGGATTGGGGAGAGTCCAAACAAAGAGATCAGGCCCCCTTTTTGGGGGGCCAAATCATCAGGGAAATCAATACAATCATTGGGGGACCTCACATCGGCGGAAACACCAGGAATGCCCAAAGGAATTACACAAGGAAAGCAAAAGACCTACCAATGATCACTTACATTGTCAACGAGTCCCAAGAGGCCAATAGGATGGCCCCAATTACCTTCTCCCAGGAAGATGCACAAGGAGTTCACCACCCCAATTGTGACGCATTGGTTGTGAGAGCCGTAGTGGCTAGAAACGGACTCAGACGCATGCTCGTCGACAATGGCAGTTCGGTGAACATACTGTTCGGCTCCACCTTCGACAAAATGCAAATTGAACATGAGTTGATCCCAATGACCGACCCACTATTCGGATTTACTAGAGACAGCATCGTCCCACGAGGGTGGATCACTCTGCCAGTCGAGATGGGTTCAACATCCCTAGTGCCCAACACTTCATGGAATTCTTAGTGGTAGACCACAGATCGGCCTATCATGGAGTATTGGGCAGACCCGCTTTAAAAGATCTTTGGGCCATCACATCCATCCACTACTTGTGTATGAAATTCCCAACTGAACATGAGATTGCTACAGTCCGAGGCCACCAAATGGGCCCCAGGGCATGTTACTTGAACTCTCTACGAAAGTCGGAGCCCTGAACTGCTAACGTGATCATAATTGAAGTTGTCAATGAAGCCAGTATGGACGTGGAAATGGTCGACGCCCTTGAACAAGGGCGTACCTCTGAACAGGAAGAAGACGTGGACATGGAAGAGGCCCCCTGAACAAGGACACCCTCTTGATGAGTTAGATCTCCGGATAATTGACTCTGAACCAAATGCAACCCCAATGGAAGAACTTGAAACTTTCTCCACCAATCCAGAGGACCCTAGTCAGGTCTTACGAATGGGGAAGGCACTGTCCCCTGAAGTAAAAGAAGAGATGATAAGCTTCTTGAAAAGGAACTTGGATGTCTTCGCTTGGAAGCATGAAGACATGGTGGGAATAGATCCAAGGATCAGTTGCCACCATCTTAACATCAACTCCTCATGTGCTCCTCATCGGCAGAAAAGACGTGCTCTCAACCCAGAGAGGTACGAGGCACTCAAAGACGAAGTAGGCAAGTTTAGCCGTAGTGGCTTCATAAGGGAAGTCATCTACCCGAAGTGGATTTCCAACCCGGTCCTGGTGAAAAAGCCCAGCGGGAAGTGGAAGGTGTGCGTAGACTTCACCAACTTGAATAAGGCGTGCCCTAAAGACAGCTTTCCACTTCCAAGGATAGACCAACTTGTGGATTCACCGCTGGACATGAACTATTGAGCTTCACGGATGCATATTCAGGGTACAATCAGATACCCATGTTCCGACCTGATGAGGAAGCTACATCATTCATTACAGACAGAGGACTCTACTGGTACAAAGTCATGCCTTTTGGATTGAATAATGTCGGAGCTACATATCAGAGACTGGTCAACATAATGTTTGCCGAACTCATTGGCAAAACCATGGAGGTCTATGTGGATGACATGCTAGTCAAAGGCCTCCAGGCAAGCGAACACGTAAGTCACCTCGACCAAACCTTTTAGATACTTAGAAAATATAAGCTGAAGTTGAATCCCCTCAAGTGCACCTTTGGGGTGGCTTCGGGTTAGTTCCTGGGATACATTGTTAACCAAAGAGGAATTGAAGCAAATCCAGTAAAGATAACGGCCTTGCTGGAAATGAGGTCACCTCAAAAATCGAAGGAGGTCCAAAGCCTTAATGGTCAGATAGCCGCGCTCAGTCGCTTCATCTCTAGGGCTACAGATAAGAGCTTACCCTTCTTCAATGTGCTTAAGCAAGGAAAGAAGTTCCAATGGACTTCTAAGTGCAAGGAAGCTTTTCAGGAGCTAAAAAAGTACCTCGGAGAGGCGCCCCTTTTCTCAAAACATCAACCAGAAAAGTCGCTACTGCTGTATTTGGTGATTTCGGACGTGGCAATCAGCGCTGTCCTAGTCAGAGAAGAAAATGAGTGCCAGTTGCCAGTATACTACATCAGCAAAGCACCCCTCCTAGCTGAAACACGCTACCCAGACATAGAGAAACTGGCACTTGCCCTCATCACAACCTCAAGGAAACTGAGGCCATACTTCTAGGCCCACTCGATTGAAGTTCTCACCGATTTCCCATTGAAGCAAGTGCTGCAGAGAACAGATGCATCAGGATGCCTGCTAAAATGGGCGATCGAGCTACTGTTCCGACCTCGACATGCCATCAAGGGCCAAGCCCTTGCAGATTTTGTGGCTGAGTTTACCAAAGCCCCGAAAATGGAGGCAACAATGGAACCAGCCGAGCCCCCAACATGGAAACTGTTCGTAGATGGATCCTCAGGAGAGGCTGGCACCGGGGCAGGAATTGTCTTGGAAAGCTCGGAGGGTCACAAGCTAAATTACGCAGTAAGGTTCGGCTTCAAAGCCTCGAGCAATGCTACTGAATATGAGGCCCTTCCAGTAGGTCTTAGACTTGCTAAGGAAATGTAGGTTAGAAAGCTACTGGTAAGTAGCAATTCTCAGCTAATAGTGAATTAGGTCAATGAAAGCTTTGCGGCCAAAGACAGCAGCATGGCTACATACTTGAAATTGGTTCTGGACCTAGTTCCTCAGTTTCAAAGGTTCGAACTGATTCAAGTCCCACGCCTAGAGAATACACATGCAGATGCCCTTTCAAAATTGGCCAGGAAAAAGGATTCTGAGCTACTAAAGGTCGTCCCTATTGAACAATTATCGAAGCCCTCCATTTTCGGAGGTGAAGAGGTACTATGGATAGAAGGCACCCCATTATGGATGCATCCCATCATCGCCTATTTAAAGGATCAAACACTACCTGCTTCTAGAAGCGAGGCGAGGAAGTTAAGAAGAAGGGCTGCGCACTTCATCCTACAATAGGATATGGTCTACAAAAGAGGCTTCGCCTCACCACTTCTCAGATGTATGGGAGGTGAAGAAGCCACATATATACTTAGGGAAATCCATGAGGGAATCTGCGGAAATCACTCCGGAGGAACGGCTCTAGCACATAAGGTTCTCCGTCAAGGCTACTTCTTGTTGACCCTAAAAAGGAATGCTTGCCAGTTTGTCCAAAAATGTGACAAGTGCCAGTGCTTCTCAAATATTCAAAGGTAGCCTTCTTAGAGCCTCTCCGTAGTGACCAGCCCCTGGCCATTCGCCAAGTAGAACATCGACTTCATTGGTCCACTCCCAAAAGGAAGAGGAAGCGCGACTTTCACCATTGTCACCATCGATTACTTCACCAAGTGGGTCGAGGCTGAACCTCTTGCAAAGATCACCGAGGTGAATACTAGGAAATTCGTTTGGAAGAATATCATTTGCAGGTTCGGCATTCCCCACTCCTTAGTGTCCGACAACGGGAGACAGTTTGACAACAGGAAAATGCGAGAATCGTGCAACAAACTGGGGATAAAAAAGGATTTCACAACGCCTCATCACCCGCAAGCAAATGGACAAGTTGAGACAGTAAACAAAACTATCAAGCATACCCTGAAAAGAAAGCTTGACACCTCAAAGGGGGCATGGGTTGATGAGCTTCCCCACGTCCTCTGGGCCATCAGAACCACAAGCCGAACTGCAACAGGGGAAACACCAATGACCTACGGAGCCGGGGCCATGAGCCCGATCGAGGTCGGGGTCCCATCGCACCATCGAATACACTTTAACGAGATCAGTAACGACAAGGCCCGAGTAAACGAACTCCACCTTCTTGAAGAAATGAGGGATACCTCCCAGGTGAATTTGGAAAAGTATCATAGAAAGATGACCCGCTATTATAACTCCAAGGTCAGAAACCGAACTCTTCGCCTGGGGGACCTCGTCCTCAGAAGGGTCTTCCAATCATCAAAGCTAACCGAGACCGAACTGGGAGGGTCCTTACCGCATCCGCAGGGAATCCCGACCTGGCACTTTCGAAATTGAAGACATGGTAGGGAAAGCACTACCTCATCGATGGAACATCGAACACTTGAGGAAGTACTATCAGTGATGAGCTTTTGTTCTGATCCGATCTCAATGTTGTCTAATAAATGTATGTCCTGATCCGATCTTGTTTGTAATTTCCCTAGCTTATTGAGTGCTAAAAATGCCTTAGTAAAGGGTGATGTAACTTCTATAAGTAATGATACTTCAGTTCTTTGTCACATCGGCTAGTAAATTGTTACCTCAGTCATTCAATATGTTTACTTAAGTGATCCGATCTTCTATCATTAACTGGTTATTGTTAAGAGGCGCTTGATGTTTACTTAAGTGATCCGATCTTCTGATTATTGTTAAGAGGCGCTTAATCTTAAGTGCTTGTCATTCATATATGTGTAAACAGATCAACACGATAAGAAAACAGAAGCAACAATACTTGACAAAAATTTCATTTCATTCACTTGAAATTGAGTTACAAAAGAGGTCAAAGCCATTACAAGATTAGCCCTATTCTACAGGAGGGCCTTCCCCGCTAGCCTCTGCCTCGCCCGCCTCGGGGCCTCTGGAGCGTCCTCGGCAAGCCTATCACGCCGGCCTCCAGTAGGTCCCCCAAACTCTGCCCCTAAAGAGGAGATGTCCAGAGTGGGGTGAACTCTTTCAGCCGACCCAATAAGCCTTGGGCACTCTAGAAGGCCCAAAAAATTGCAAAGTCTTCGTACAAGGAATGCTCCTCGAAGTGGTCAATGAAATTTTGAACAGCCACTTCCCCTGCCGTTTTCAGTTCCTCCTTCAAGGAGGCGATTTCCTCAGATTGGGCCTCCGTCCTCTACCTCAGCTCCACTTTTTCTTTATTGGAGGCCTCCAGAGCCTCCGTGGCAAGCCGGTGGTGCTCATTGGCGTGATCCACTCTTCGGATTATAACAACCACCTAGCACTCCACTTCATAGAGCTCCTTCTTCAGCCGCTCTATATCTTCTTTGGCAGCCGTTAGCTGAGCCTCAGCCTTCCTTTTTCCTTTCTCTTCCTCCGCAGCCTTGGCCCGGGCCTCCCTCGCCACATCCCCATATTGCATCGCCTCCTCGAAGCACTTAGCGAGGTCCTCCCTCTTGGAGTTGAGGTTTTTCACCAAGCCTTCGAGTTGGATGCTGGTACTCAGAGCCCGGGCCACACAGGCACTATTGGCAGCCACTAAGTCTTCGGTAGTGCAGAAGGCGGAGTGGTCCCTCCATTCTTCGGTCCAATACTTATTGTGGACCACCGCCACTACAGTCATTTCTGGGGGAGAGCCTCCAGTACTTCTTTTACTGGCTCCTCGGAGTTCGTGCCCAAAAAGTCCATCTTCTTTGAGGGACAAGCTCTTTTCCTCTTGGGCTACCTTGGCACCTGGGCGAGAGGCACAGTAGCAACTAGCAGTGTGGCCGGGGGAGGAGAAGCCTCTGATGGTGCAGGCGTTTTCTCCGAAATGGCCATCCCAGTAGGAATTGTAGTTTGCCTCAGAACGAGGGGTGGCCTCCCCACCGTTGGTCGCTTCGAAGGGGCAGAAGGCTTTTTGCCCTTTCGAAGCAGATTGGCCTCAAGATCCTTAGGCACCTCCTCCTCCATCGGAGGCTGGAGCCTCCTGTTGGCATCCACCAAGTCCTCCATTTGCTTCTTATAGGCGGAGGAAGAAGTCTTCAAAGCCTTCGCTTCAGCCATCATCTTTTGTATGGTCTTGAAGTCGGGCCGGAGAGGAATTTCTTATTAAAGTTATCTACAAGAAACAAGTAAATTAGTACAAGTGTAAACGACTCGGAAGTACTAAAAGGTATTCGGTTCGAGATATTACCTCGTGAGGCCATCAGGTCGTGCATCACAAAATGAATGTTCTTTCTGATCAGCCAATGGTACGACCTCTTCTTTGGAGGTAGCTGATATATGACGCAGATGATGTCGAAGTCGTCAGAGGACAGCTCGCACCGAGGAAGAGTGCCTTCAAAAAATGAACACAAATGTTAGTTATGATCTGAACCGAAGAGAAATAAACAAGAAACACAGCTACAATACTCACTAAGTGACGAGTACTTCGTGGGGACCGTAAGAGGTACCAGGGGTCCCCCTCCATCGTGTCCCATCTTCCGGTAGCCCAACACCACGAGCTCTTTCACTCCTTAATGGAGCTCTACAGATCGAGTATGAAAGGAGTGTGGAAATCCCAAGAGGTCAGGTAATACCAACCCCTGGTCTTATCCTCCCCCCCCCCCAGCTTTTACTTTGGGAATGCAGAGGGTCTGAAAAACAGAGAAGGGCATCTCCACCCCAAGTGACGCCTCTTTCCATAACATCCAGGAGCCCACCATTCAGCTCTAGAAGTTCGGGTTCAATTGGGTAGGTGCTAAGCCATAAGACCTAAGCACCATTCGGAAAAAATGGTGAATTGGAAGCCTAAGACAGGCCCTAAGGATCACCTCGCTTATCGCCACGCACCCTAGCCTAGGATAGCAGGCCCTCTCATCATGTTCGAGTAGGATCATGTTTATACTATCTGGGATCCTATATTCAGTCCTAAGTCTTTCTAGGTTGGCCCCCTTTATCTTGGAGGAAAAATTCGACGCCTCCCGATGCATAGAGGTATCTGCTAGGCTATCCAGCCTCTTCCAAATGTTCTCCCCCCCAAGTATCGCTTCTGCTACTTTGGAGAAAGTCGCCACAATGGGCTCATCCATCCGCACTAACTCCAGTCCCCTCCCCGAACTAGCACTACCCTCAGAAGCCATTTTTAAAAAGGAAATGTCTCAAATATTTACTGAAACTTATGAGTTTGAGTGTTCCCCGGCCAAAAATGGTCAAAAAGAGGTGTGTGGTCACCAAAAATTCGAATTTCTCCCCGTTAATGCTTGAAGAACGCCGAAAATCGCAAAGAGTTTGAGAGCAAATGGAATTTTCTATTTTCGTAAGAGTGAAAAGCTCCAAAAATGCTCAAGTCCGTCTTTTATAGAGCGCTCCAACTAATCTCCACTATTGAATTCAAATGCAATCAATCTAGGCCGTCCGTCGCATCATCAATCTGGGTCGTTGAAATGAAACGCCAGATTTGATCTATACCTAAGATTTTGTATTGACCCTCACGCTTGCATAAAACGCATTGCCTCGGTCACCACCAACTGTCAACAATAAGTAGCCACAGCAGCCTTTTAGGGGAATGGGCGTTATACCCAACTGTCACCTTGGAAATACGCAATAGCTGTCAAACCATTTAATGTCAGATACGCCTGCCTCGGATTGAGCTCCTCACTCAACTTTACAAAGCTTAGATGCACCTAACGCGGAGTCCCCTGTGGGTCATTGTCTCGGTTGCTGCGTTCCCTCCTAAGGTTTACAAAGTTTTAGCCATCTTCCAACGCGTCGTCCTCTATGGGTCAGCGCACTGGTGACAGATGAGCTCCTCACTCAATTTTACAAAGCTTAGACGCACCTGACACGGAGTCCCCTGTGGGTTATCGCCTTGGTCGCTGCATTCCCTCCTAAGCTTTACAAAGTTTTAGCCATCTCCCAATGCGTCGTCCCCTGTGGGTCAGCACACCGGTGGCAGATGAGCTTCTCACTCAACTTTACAAAGCTTAGATGCACCTGGCGCGGAGTCCTCTGTGGTCATCACCTCGGTCACTGCGTTCCCTCCTAAACTTTATAAAGTTTTAGCCATCTCCGAACGATTCGTTCCCTGTGGGTCAACGCACCGGTGCAGATAAGCTCCTCACTCAGCTTTACAAAGTTTAGATGCACCTGACGCAGAGTCCCATGTGGATCATCACCTCTATCGCTGCGTTGACCGTCTCCCTACGCATCGTCCAGTTGGGCAGCACCTCGATCTCACATAAATTTTTTTCCTCACGCAGTAGCGAAGCTTTAGCGCATCTGCCTAGGATCAACGCTTCAGCGAACACAGAAGATCGACCCTCAAGTTCTCACAAATCACGGTTCTC